CATATTAAAATAGATCACCATTCCCAGAACATACTTATAAAGAAGAATTAGTTTAACAAATCTTTTTTATAGCATAGCACTTGAACCTTGTCCACAAATTAATTGGGATTTGCAAAGAGTGGTTGGACTGAGTTATTTATGGATTCTGACAATCTCTTCTAATCGGAATTCGGAAGTGTAGTTGGCTGCGAAAGGTGGAATTCCACCTACAGTCATATATGTTATGGATATATGTTATGGGACAATCCAAGTACCATATCAGAAATACAAAGGAAGGAATTCTAGTATATCTGTATCTACCTAGTTTAATTAGTACGAGACTTTTTGGGGAGGACACTCAAAAGTAAATCCGTGCGGGTTTGATCCAAAGCGGACAATATTGTACTAATGGAGCACCTCTAATTTCAATAAGTAGTATCAGAGCCTGGTTCGGTGTGGGCGGTGTACGTAAGTTTGGTGAGGGACCCTCATTCGATGACCTCGAGATTTGAGATCTGCGTATGTTTGGTGGATCCAGGAGAGATCCACGTTTGGGCTTAGCGGATCAAAGAAAGTTCCGCATTTGGGAAGCAGATCAAAGAGAGTTTTGTTTCTGGTAAAGTCCTTGTACTAAGAAGCCCATCGATACAAGGGGCGGATCAAGATAATTGTTGGGGTGAGGACATGAAGTTCGTGGTCCTTGTCTTAAGGAGAGGATTGTTATGGGACAATCCAAGTACCACATCAGAAATACAAGAGAAGGAACCCTTGTATATCAGTGTCCACCTAGCCCAATTAGTACGAGGCCTTTTGGGAAGGACACCCAAAAGTAAATCCGTGCGGATTTCGCCCAAAGCGAACAATATTGTACTAATGGAGCACTCTCGATTTCGACAATATATATACACGTATGTGCAGTTGGTAAATGCAAATGTAAAATCTTAAACCATCGTTATAATTAAAATGCTAAAATTTCCAGATTTCACACTCTAACTCCATAAAAATAGCTTATTTGCTCTAATAGAGAGAACCAAAATTTCAAATTCTCCGAATTTAAGTTTTTGGACTTTGCTACGGTGACTTGACTTGTACTTTTGGTCGACCTCGAATAGGATTAGGTCGACCTAATCTGCTGCTTCAGTTTTGTGAGGCTCAACGACGCGGTTGACCTTTTACAGCAAATGACCGACTTCTTTGGGAAGCGAACACTCGGACTTTTGTACTTGCGAGGTTAGGAAGATCAAACCAAATAGGTCGACCTAATTCTTATCATTGTCGACCGTTTCTGTTTGTTTTGCTTGTTTATCTAGAATGTCGACTTTGGCTTTGTTTGTAAGACTATGTTGTGTTTAAAAGGTCGACCGGTCTATGTGTCTGGTCGACCTACCAATTGTTCGTGGTAGTATTACACATGTTTTTGTAGTTAAATTGATATTATTCTGCTGGATAGGTCGACCTAGGAAGAGCAAAGGTCGACCTAATTGGTTTTGGTAGTGACAACTTACGTCTTTAATCTCGACCTAATAATATTTCAGGTCGACCACTTCTCTGTTGTTGGTCATTTGTACAAAATTAGTGACCACCTTAGGGGATTCGGTCGACCGCAGTTATGAATAGGACGGCCGAATTGTGCAAGTTACGTTGACTTGCAAGACACCATAGGCGCACCCTAAGTTTTATGCCAAACGTTTCATTCTGATATACATATATAGCTCTATAAATAAAATAATTCTGTTTTTTTTCTTCTAATAAGAGATATACACAAAAAATTAAGAAGTAAATTAAAACAACTTAAAAATGAAGACATAAAATAATTTAAGCAGTAAATTAGTATATAGTATGTTATACTTCCTCTAACACTTTAACGATGTTGTGAACACATTCTGTCCACTACTTTTTGAGGTATTAATAAATTTCCAAAAAATTTGGTACACACTCTAAACTAGGGCCTTAATAAACCTTAATTCATGTAGTGCTTGAGCCACGATCAGGTTACAAAGTATATAATACCCAAAAATTGATATAATATAAATCGTCAATTTTACTTTAGCATTTCTGTTTTGGACGTTATCAATGGTGATGGTGTGGTGGAGTGTGGCTTCCACACGAAAGTGGATTCCATTATATCAGTTCTTGGATAGTGGACTCCATTCTTTCAAAAGTTTAAATTGCTAGCTTTACTATTGCACGTATTTGTAGTTTTCGCAATTTTTTTTTTCTCCTACTGGTGTGTATCTTGATGCGGGATTTTCCTTTAGAGATGACAATGGATCGGGTTTTCCCAAATCCAAATCTATGGATTTATCTATGAAAAAAATCAGGAGTAAAACTCATTGGGTTTGAAAAACTGAAACCCAACCTGTTGGGCGCTGGGTATCCGCAGTTTGATGGGTACCCATGGGTTTCGTCGTAAAAAATTTACAATAACAAGTTCCTATTAAAATAAAAGTCAAATATCAATCTCTCAATACAAATTATCCATATATAAAACATCATTCTAGAAAATTCAAGCAAATCACAAATTAATCATACAAATTGTTCAACACCAATCTAGAAAACTCAAAAAAATTGAACAAAATCATAAATTATCCATAAACAACATGATTAATTGAAAACTTCTTCCTCCTTGTCAATTAAGATTCTTCACTCTCCACTCGATAATATCAACTTCATTCTAGACAATTAGAAAGAACAAATTAGACATGTCTCCACAAACATAAAGAAGACTAATTATTTAGAATATTAAATATGCCGGGAAAATTAATTATATAGGTGTGGGCGGGGTACCCGTTGGGCGAATTTACCTAAACCCAAACCTAATCCAACCCGGTAAATAATGAACGTGTTTGAACCCAAACCCAGCCTAAAACCTGTCAACACGAATTTTACCTGCGTTGACTGGATTAGATCAGGAAGGTTACTCATGGGTTTGAGTTTTGTTGCCAAGTGGAAGGGAGAACTGTAGAGAATTGGTAAGTGGCCCATGCGCTTTAGCGTAGGGCTGACCGGAGCGTGAGACTAGGGCTAGGGCCATGGCCGATGCTAGGTGGAAGAAATGGGTTGACTCCTGGATTTGTGGACGAAGTTTCTGGGCTTTATGAAAGAGAAGGGCCGCGTGGGTTCAGTTGAGGAGAGGAGAGGAGAGGAGAGGAGAGGGTTATTTAAGCCCAAACTAGCCCAACTATAATTCCCTAACTACAATGGGAGTGAAAAGTTGATTTTTTTGTTAATTGCAGGAAACACTGGAGGAGCATAAGGGTGCAACGCACATCCTATCACATGGAAGGGGATGATTCATGAAACTGAAATTATAGTGTCTATCACACTCATATTTTACACATTTATTAATGCATCTTTAATATATTTTGCTATATTTTAAGTGAAAATCGTAACCATGTGATTAATATGCTTTTAATAGACTTATTATGTGTTTTATTATCATTTTATGCTTTTTTGCTATTATTTTGTGCACTCCAAGGTCAAACACGTTTGTAGGATGATTTGGATAAGCAATTGGATTAAGTTGGAGGTTCAAAAGAGACCATTACTAGAAGATCAAGGTGATTCATCCATTAAATTAAGTCAAATGGAGGGGAAGGCTTCATGATATCCTCATAAAATCCCAAGAGAAGTCTACTGGAGAAATTTCAACTCAAGCCTACACATAAACCCATAGCGGCCTTGCAATGGTGCCAACTGCCACTGGGCTGAACCCATCAAGTCGTCTCGTGATATCAAGTTCTTGAGTTACTTTAGGAAAACTCTATGGAGATTGGGTCTTGGTGCAGATGAGGAAGGAACGTTTTCCCCATCAACGATGTTCTAAGTTTCTGCCTCGTGGCAATGGTCCCTTTCAAGTCCTTGCCTGCATCAATGACAATGCCTACAAGATTGATCTGCCGAGCGAGTATGGTGTGAGTGTTACATTGAATGTTGCTGACTTAGATCATTTCCTTGAAGATGACTCAGATTTGAGGGCAAATCATTTTTAAGTGGAGGGGGTTGATGAGGGCATCAACACCAAGGCAATCTCAAGTCCAACTCTTGTGCGAGAGGAACGTGGTCCGGCCAGTAGAAGTCAAGACAAGGCATTCAAGGGACGACTTCAAGCTTATTTGGCCCAAAATTTCAAAAATATGGAGGCCGAGTTGTTCGTGGGACGATAAGTGATGATCATCGGAGTTGAGGCTGCTTCAGGCCAAATCCCCGACCATGGAGGTGTAAAACCCGATCGGGTAATTGAAAGGGGGATCAGAGATTGTGTCTAGGAGGCCCCCCGACCGAGAAGCTTAAATACCCGACCGCGTATTTGAGAGGGGGAGGTCGTGTATTTTGGGTCAGCTACTACCGACGAGTTTTTTTGTCTACTTTGCGGATTATGTGATTTTTACACAAAAACTCAGATTTCTATGTTATTTTTGGCCCAAAACCTTTGTAGCCTATATGAGGGGATGAACTAAGTCTTTGAGAGGGTAATTAACAATTTTATTCAAAAATTAAACCCTAGAATTGGTTGTTCAAACACCAACTTCTCTTATTCTTCTTTCTAGATCGTGGAATCGGTTCAACAAGAAGAAGATGATGTTTTCTGCTAGCTCATCACCCTAACTGAATAGTCATTTGTATACCTGACCCTCTTCCCGACGTATGGATTTGGTTCGGGTTATTATCTGTTTGGTGATCGTTGTGCTTCTAATTGATCTTTGCTGAGTTTCTGATTGTTTAAGCCCAGGAGTTAGAGCCTCGGCTTATATCAACAATTAAACCCTGGCTTATCTTATTTGTGAGATTTGGTATCTGAAAGCTTCTTACACGAGTGAATTGTGCATACATACATACATACATACATACATACATACATACATATGCGAGTTCTACGGTACACAGGGTGAAATCCATGGTACCACATACCCTGAGTATGAAAATGCTATTCAGACCATAAATTGACTGATCTTTCGGACATAATACTATACTCTAACCCTTAAAGATCAAAATCTAGGTCTTAGTTCTCTAAAATTAATACTCTAAGATCAATTTAATTAGAATAATAATCGACGGTTGTGATTCGTCCAAATAAAGGCCAAAAATGAATGCACCATCTTAGGGTTTATAGTTTATAATTTAGATAATTAGGACCTAGGGTTCACTCATTAAGGGTTAGGGTATAGTATCAGGTTCAAAAATCCTGCTAATTCGAGTTCTAGATAGTATTTTCATACTCAAGGTATGCGGTACCCTAGATTTTACCCGGGGTACCATAGAAGGCACCATATATATATACTTCTTTTTATTCTAGTTTATTGTGATGTGTGATACACATTGTTGAGAACCATTCGAACAAGTAGAGCATATAGAGATCAATTGTAATGTTACTAGAGAAATGATGAATCATGGTTAATAATCAACTAACAGTAGATGTTTATGAACTCTATGTATGGTGACTTCTATCGTACATCATATATATATTGGGGCATGTCGTGCACCTATAATCTACACCGTCCACGTCCATCTCAACGGCCATGGTTAATGGGGGTTCTTTTTTATGAGATCAAAAAGTAAATTACCTCATTTATGCTAGTCGTTGAGATAGACGCGAACTGTGGGGATTGCTTGGTGTATGACATACACCAGGTTTTGTCTGGTGTATGATAGAACTATCCCTCTATGTATATAATGAAAGTAATGGATCAAATATATATATATATATATATGGTTCAGGCTAGCGTACGTCAGGCATACATTGTACGCCTATCGAGTTTTACTATTTAAAGGACGAATTAACCGGAGTTTGGGCATGATACTATATATATATGGAAAAGGCTAGCATACGACTGTCATACGTTATATGCATGTGTTCACACTTGTTATTTGCACTTCAATAATATGTCGTTGAATCAACGATAAGAGACCTAACAACTACTACTCAACTCGTAAACCCCACCAAATTACATGTAAGCTTAATGTTACTGATTGTTGTCGAGCAACTGTGCGCAAGCCTGACTTTCTACTATGTTCCTTCTAAAACTCTTCTTTTAAACTATTCTCATTTGAGTCTAAGTCACTATTACAACTAAGATATGCAAGAGGTCTTGTAAGACTTCAAACACCGCATTATTTTTTGTCTATGTTTGCAGCTCATGGAGGTCTATTATTTTTGGCTCTTACTATGAGGATTGTCGTAATCGCTTAGTCGTTTAACGTTTAACTATCTATTAATAATCGTTTAACCATCGATTAGTTATTAGCTAAATTTGTCTACCAGGAACCGACCATTTACCATATAATCGGATATCGGTGTAACCGTTAAGCATCAGTTCCAATTCAGTTATCGGTTACACCATTAACGGGATAACCGTTTACCAGCCCTAGCTGCAACAGTCGAGCCTCGATGTCACTCAGTGATTCAAACTGCGGATTTAGCATGCTTTGACCTGAATATATGCAAAACGTTACCGAAGACTTATCAAGATAACAAAAGCAGTCTCAAACACACTTTTAGCATTCTCACATCAACTCCAAGGTATTATGACGATAAATATGAGAAATAAACTCACTTTTGATCATAATACGAGGGTTAAAAATATCATATTTCACGTATCATCATACGTTACTTTCTCACTCGTAGTGAGTTTCACCTAAGTCAGGAGTGTGACTTTGTCGGCAGAGTACCAACCCGCTACATCCTTCTATCAGTGCATACCAAGTTCTTTAACCCTAGCCCTAGAAAAGTATTTATATGCCTTGGATTAGGTTGTATGAGAAGGAGGAGAACTCAGCCTTTAGGCGTCATCCAACCAATTGACTCGACCTAACTATACATTCCCAATCGATAGCCAAGAATAACTAGCGACCGAGTGTAATAAAAAGGGTAAGTAAAGTAATACAATTATTAAATCCACAGCTCTAGATGTATACTTTGCTTTGATTCGTTATCTAGCCAAACAACCATAGTAATTAAGAAACAAACCTAACTAAGATACTCAAACCACTATTTTAGCTAATTACAAGGTGGGAGCTGATATGGACGATCTCACGAGAGATGGGTCTCATTACTCTGACGGTCGGGTCCTGAGCTGGGTTGACGATCTCCGAAAGCCTTTTAAAGCCACAATGCATTCCAGTCGTGTGACGATCCCGCACCACGCGATTATGAAGTCCCGGCGACCGAGGGTTTTGGTGGTATCATCGTTGGAGACGACGACGTATCCGATCAAGTTGGCGATTTAACTCGAGGGATTGAAAGAACTGGCGACGAGGGAATTGGCACTTGCACCGCCACGGGCGTGACCTATATTCTCCTTGCGACCACCTGCATTGCCAACAGTGTGGCGGTCGATGGAATCACTTTCGGTCGTGCAAGGAAGATGATTTTGGATTTGGAGATCTGGAAAGAATAACGAAAAAGGTTGGTTTCAATTTTGGTTGTTATATTATTTTTGTTTTATTTACTTTAATTTGGCGATATAATATCCATAAAAAATAATTTATTATTATAATGAGGGGAAAATTATAAAATATTAATTTTTAATATTTCTAATTGTCACGTCACTTATTTAGCGGTCAACTATGCCAATTGACCGCCACATTAATAAAAATTAACGGAGACTAACGACTAGTGATCAAATTTGGAATGCTCAACAAATTTAAGTGACTACGGATGGAATAAATTAATCTTAGTAGCAAACTAACCGTTGAAACCGGTGTTTACAAGCTTGCTTTAATATATATTTTGGGTAAATTGCAAGATTTGTCACTGAGATTACTAAAAACGTTCATATTTGGTCACTAGAAATATTTAATTTTAATTCCATTAGTGGTCACTGAAATTATTTAAACCGTCCAAGTTTGGTCACTCTCCGTTAACGGCGTCAATTTTCGCTGACGTGGCTAATAGAAGTGTCAAGTCACCCAATTTTAAACACGAAAAAACTCTAAACCCAACCCGCCACGCTATTAAACCTGCCATATAAGATACCCAAACCCAACCCTTCATCTTCTTCCTCTGTATGACCAGATTGAAAAACCCCCTTATTCTCAAATTCAAAAAAAAACACCCTTCTGCCTCTTTCATCCTTCTCCTCCGCCTCCTCGACCCTTGCCTTCTACTTCTCCCTCTCTTCTAGCATCTTCATGCTCACCAACTCCAATCGAACTCCCTCTGCTTGAAGGTTACAAAGGTTTGCAAGGACTAAGGAGGGCCCTTCCAATTTTCAATCTAGAAATTCCCAAAGATTTCCCAAACATCTTGTTCTCATCCCTATATAAACTACTCCCATGTCTATCCATTCCTCATAATCAAGGAAGTTTAGACTACTCCCATGTCTATCCATGTCTACTCCCATGTCTATCCATCCCTATATAAACTACTCATCCCTATATAAACTACTCCCATGTCTATCCATTCCTCATAATCAAGGAATTTTAGATCAGACCCAAGCAACAATCTTAGCAGCAATCTGGGGGGAAAAAAGCAATGAATCTCCTATCTGTGGGATTCGACTACCCACTCCTCCAAACCTTGAAGCACATGATAGACACCATTGAAGATGAGCCGGATGTGAATGTCACTGACGCCGGCATCAAGTCCCCGTCTTCTGCAAAGCGACAACGACCATGAGCCCTCGCCAGAGTCGTCGGATCTCTCAATCTCTCTGCAGAGTCTCTGTATCTCACTGCCTCCCAATCTCTCGCCGGATTCCATTGAGTCACCGCATGAGGAGAAGGGGAGTCAAATATGCCATTGAAAACCTCTCCCAGTGTGACGAGCCGGGCGAAGTTTGTATCCCTCGACTTGTCTCATAATTGAGGAGTGCAGAGGGAGGTAAAGGCTTAGGTAGTGGATGAGAAAGGATAAGATTGAGAGGAAGCAATGAGAACCAGAGGAAGATGTAGATTTTGGGGAAAAGACCTGCGTATGCTTGCAATCTGATTTGGGAGGTAGGGATTTTTTCCTAGTTCGGTTAATTAGAGGGAGAAGATGACAGGTCGGATCAAGAGTTGGGTTGGATTGGGTATCTTATGTGGTTGGTTTGAATGATGTGGTGGGTTAGGTTTTTTGTTTTTTGTTGTTAAAGTTAGCTGATTAGGCACTTCTATTAGCCACGTCAGCAAAAAAACTAACCGTGTTAACGGAGGTTGATGGAAGGTAACAGAGAATGGCCAAACTTGTATTGTTCGCTTAATTCTAGTGATTACGAATAAAATTAAATATTTGTAGTGACCAAACATTAACGTTTTTAGTAATCTCAATTCTCAGTAATCAACCTTCCAATTTAGTCGATATTTTTATAGAATAATCAAGGTTGCTTTAATTTGGAGTGTTGTAAAAGTAACAAAAAGCCCGAAACAAATGCATTGCTTTATGTACCTGGGTAGCATAATAATTGTGCATAATAAGAAAGAGAATCGGTTCCTGGAAATCGACAGAATTATAATAAAGCCACAATCATATTATGCTATATAGATACACCATCATCATAGGCTACATACACAACATCATTAGGCTACCTAAACCAAGTGAAGGAAACATTAGCAAAAAAGAAAGCAAAGAAGGGGGAAAAAAAGGAAGCTTAACGGATGAATTACGCCACCGCAGTTACTGCACATCTAATATATATAATTACAACTCCACCCAGAAAATGATAAAGAGCTACAGATCGAGATAACAATACTCTAATAAAGCTAATCATATCTGTCATCGGGGCACGTCAGGTTGCTGCGTGCTTATATATAGAGAGAGAGAGAGAGAGAGCCAGCCTGAACATCGTATATGCACACACTTAATCATTTCGAAGGATGGACAGCAGCAGTACGAGTGCAGATCGGGAAGTAGAGCAACAACGACTAGGGACGGCTTGGATTTTGCATCACCACTCTATCGCAGCCGGCGATGGCTACTCCTCATCAATGCAATCATGTCCCTACTACGTCCAGAGTCCATTATCATCGACCCTCGACGACGTCGCCGTCAAAGCTTCCGACGAGGAAGATGAACATGATGGTGATGGTGGTGGAGAGGAGGAGTATTACTATGAAAAGATGAGACCATCTTCCGACCAAGGCGGCGGCGTTTGGAGGAGGTGTTTTTCCTTCAGTAGGAGTTCTTCCTGTTCATGGATTTCGGTGCAGTTATTATGGAGGTTTTTGGTTAGTTTCGGGCTGGCTCTCCTTGTGTTCTACATTGCTACCAAGCCACCTCCTCCCAAGGTTTCAGTCGAAGTAAGTTTCTTTGAATATGTTTAATTCTCTGCCAATCCTGAATTTTCTTTTTATATATAGTTGAGTGTTGATAAGCTTACACTAAAGTGTAACATATTTTTGTGATATGTTGGTTAGATAAATTTGGAGAAATCAAAATCATCACTAATATATTATTTGGAGAAAAATTAAAGACTGTGGTTCACTTATTTTTTCTTCTCAAAAAGGTTTATCATACATGAGAGCGAAGGTAAGAAGGAGAATGTGAAATTCTTTTTCATTTCCACAGGGACTTAGAGATGGATCTGGACATAAGAAGAATGCTTGCCTCATAAATAACTCACTTCTTTACTTTTGATCCCTTTATGATACCCAAACGACAAATTCATATTAATTTAGAGTTAGATAACAGTTATACGTGAGGCTTGGCTATTGTAACTTGCTTTTTATATAATGAAGATATAGGTTTAGTTTTTGTTGTTTAAGTACAATTTAAGGTATATCTTGTGAAATACGTATTCGAATCTGGGACCTCCAACAGGGGCGGAGCAACGAATGGAGGATGGGGGACTGAGATTTATTGTAAAACAAAATGATAATAAAAGTAAACACATTATTATTATAACTATCTTATAAATATATATACTGACGCAAACTATTATCTAAAATAATTTGTTTACCGTGTGTTAGGTTATACATAAAGAAATACAATCACACAAATTATTATCTAAAATACTTTTCAGCCAAATTAATTAGTAACGGTAAAGGAAATGAAAAAGGGTCAAAACTCAAAGGGGTCGTTTGGATTAGGGAAATTGGGCAGGGATTTGGCACAATTTCTGGCCCGTCCAGGAATTTAACACATTCCTTTGTTTGGATAACTCTAAAAAAATGCAGGATTTGGGCCTTCGGAAATTTTAAATTCGGCCCACACAGGAATTAGAAATATCCGCCAACCCCCAAGTATTTTAAAATCAGGCCCCAAAATTTTTGTTTCTGCCAAACGTACCCCTGCTATCACCCTACTCCAGATCCCTCTTCTCGACCATTCTTCGGCGTACCCCTCCCTCTACACCCCGAAACCTCTCGTATTCCTCCTCGCCGTCTTCAAATCCAGATCCTCCATCCTTGTCCTAACCCGAGACCCTCAGCTCCGAATCCAAATCCTCCTCAATGTCTTCCTGTGTTTTCCTCCGTTTTCGATCGCCGATCTCCCTTTCTCCGATTCGGAAAGGAGGATAAATAAAGAGGGAATTAAGAAGGAAGCAACAACAGTAGCTTCACGTCAATGGCTGCGGGATCGGCTGTGGTAGACGGGTTCTTCTGGAACTGGGTCTTCGAAGGCTCGCTGTCGGGCGTCCACCACGGGATCGAGCGTCGGCCCTACCACCGCAACTGCAGTTGCGCGCTCCACGAAAAAACCCCGCGACGGCGGCGTTGGCGGCCCAGGCTGGGTTGGAACCGAGCATGGCGATGGATCATGGCCGTCGATGGGCTATTCCTCCTCCATTTGCTCTACTTCGTCGGAGATCTGAAGGAGGAGGGTCTCGGGAGAGACGTCCTATTGTTGGAGAATCATACCGATGTTGATGTTGACGGAGGTTTTGGGGAAGTTCACCGGCAATACTGATGGGGTGATTGCTCTGACGGGTAGGGATTTGATTTTCGTGTCGGTTGATTTCTGCAAGCGGGTCTCCCCTCTGGAATTGGGATTACCCGACCCGGATCTGAAAGACAATTCTCGAAGCATTTGTTGGATCTCTTCTACTGCCTGATGGTTGATGCGAAGGAGAATCCCAAATCAAAATCGGAAGGGTAATCTTCCAACGAATTGCCAGCGGAGAAGCCAGGAAATTGTGCTGAGAGTCTCCGATGGAGGATTCTTGCGTGGCTGCGGAGGGTAATTTCAAGAGCGCCTCCTGAAATTTCAAGTGTCGGTTTTGGGGGTTTTTCAAACTTATGCGCCGTCTAGAGTTCCCACTGCCGTCTCTGGGTGGTGGGTCTCGAAACCCATGGATTCGGAGGACGCAACGACGAGGAAGAATCCCGTGAAGTCGACGGTAAGTGGCAGGGAAGAATCAGATGTTGGCTCCAAAGGACATAATTGTAATTTAGGCAATTACTTTAGAATTAAATTCCCTAACTAATAAATCTCCCATCCCTAAATAAACAATATATTTAACCCAAATTATGGGTTTAAAATACCAGGTTTTTAATTGAACGATTGTGAGCCAAATTTCTCATTAGCTAAATTCTTAATCCAAACGACCCCAAAAGGTAACTTAAAATTTACAGAAATTGTAGGGCGGAGAAGCCAGGAAATTGTGCTGAGAGTCTCCGATGGAGGGTTCTTGCGTGGCTGTGAAGGGTAATTTCAAGAGCGCCTCCTGAAATTTCAAGTGTCGGTTTTGGGGGTTCAAACTTATGCGCCGTCTAGAGTTCCCACCACCGTCTCTGGGTGGTGGGTCTCGAAACCCATGGATTCGGAGGACTCAACGGAGGGGAAGAATCTGGTGAAGTCGACGGTAAGTAGGGGTGTCAGTTCGGATCGGGTTCCGTTACCCAAACCGAAACCCAAAAAAACCCGAAAACTCGAAACCGAAAATCACTAAAACCGAACCCGATAAGGACTTGCGGGTTCCGGTTACCCGAAACCCAAAAATTCCTTATCGGGTTCGGTTAAAGCAAAACCAAAACCCGAACGCCTAAAAATACGGGCTGAGTTCTATTCATTGGAGGTTTTTAGCCGGAACCCGAAAAACTGATAAGCAAAACCGAACCCGAAAAATCCGAAACGAACCCGAAAAACCGAAAATGTATATAATCGGGTCGGTTTCGGGTAAACTCAAAAAACCGAACCCGAATTGACACCCCTAACGGTAAGTGGTAAGGAAGAATCAGATGTTGGCTCCAAAGGACATAATTGTAATTTATGCAATTACTTTAGAATTAAATTCCCTAACTAATAAATCTCCCATCCCTAAACAAACAATATATTTCATCCAAATTATGGGTTTAAAATACCAGGTTTTTAATTGTGAATGATTGTGAGCCAAATTCCACATTAGTTAAATTCTTAATCCAAACGACCCCAAAAGGTAACTTAAAAATTTAAAGAAATTGTAGGGCCGGGGAATGGAACCCATACCGTCTTTGCAAGGAGCAGAGGTTATGACCGCCGAGCTGCGGCAAAGTCGTGATATTATGTATCACATTCGCCCATTTATACATACTTTTAGTTTATTCGTAATTATGACAATTAACGACAAATTCCTACGCAACTTTCAAAATTCTCGAGGGGTCGGGGCCCCCTCATCTCTAACCTAGCTTTGCCCCTAACCTCCAGGTTCAATGCTAATGATATTACAACAAGAGCAAACCCTTTTTCATTTTGGTATCATAATTTATTAGAGTGGTAAAAGTTATAAGTGACATATCTAATATATATAGGTGCTTGTGTTGGTACACCAATTTTTTTTTGGGTGCATTGAATCTTAAAGTGGTCATAATACATCGAATTTTGAACTTTAATTGGTAGTATTAGTCTAATATGATGATAAAATATAAACTCACAACTAATCAATCTATTACCCTAAATCCTTAAACCTTCAAATTTGAATCCCAACCCAAAACCATAAATTATAAACCTAAACCCTAACCCTAATTCCCTAAATCCTATATCCTTCAAATTCAAGTAAATCCCAAATGCAATAAGTGACGATTGATATCGTTTTGACGATGATAAGGCGAGTGCATTAAACGCACCCAAAAAAGTGGATGCACTGAATACACCACTATATATATTGGTTCAGGCTAGCATACGCCCGAGCGTACGCTAATCTACCGTACGTCCCTTTGAGTTTTGCGATTTAGATAATGAATTAACCGGGGTTTGGGGCATGATACTATATCCTAACCTATAATGGGTGAACCCCAATCCCTAATTTTCTAACTCAAACCATGAGATTCGTTTAATCTATAAAATGAAAATCATTGATAATTTCGACGAATCGGAATCGTTGATTTTCATTTCAAGATTAAACGAATCTCATGCTTTGGGTTAGTGACTTGGGAACTGGGATTCATGCATTAGAAGTTAGGGTATAGTATCAGGCACAAAGCTCTGGTTAATTCATTGTCTAAATAGCAAAACTCAACGGAAGTACGCTAGCCTTTGCCATATTATTTTATTTTTCATAAAATATTTGGTAATTAGTTATTCATACATTCTTCTTCTTTTTATATTAAAACTGCCCATTTCCAGTAACAAAATATTGTCTTGCCTTTTCCAACCCTTTTAGAACGGAATTGTCTTTTTTTTTTAATCATAATATTTATTTATTTATTATTTTTTCTTTATTTGATACACCTCTTAAAAATTTCTGAATTTACCACTGCGCCGTTACTTCTTATACTTTCGCTGTGGGTGAAATTGTGATGATAGGTAGCAGGAATGAGTGAATTTCAGCTAGCAGAAGGAGTGGACTCAACTGGTGTGACAACTAAGATCCTCACCTGCAATTGTTCGCTGGATGTATTAATAAAGAACAAGTCCAAACTCTTTGGTCTTCATGTTCATCCCCCGATTCTTGAATTGTCATTTGGACATCTCCTCGTCGCCATGTCTCGCGTAAGGAATCAATTAAATGATTGATTAACCACCTTATTAGCATAAAATTCAATCATTATATACCCTATTATTATCATTGTGATTTCTTGTAGGGTAAGTATAACCATATTTATTAACCAGCCTTATTGTTATTGATTTACTCATCAATCTCTACTGCATACACCACATTATTAATTCTCACCAGGGCTCCAAATTTTACGCTGAAAACCATGATTCGACGTCCTTTCGACTTTATGTTGGGACGAGGAGCAAACCAATGTATGGAGCTGGAAGAAACATGCAGGATTTGATGGAGTCAGGGAGAGGGTTGCCGATAGTGGTAAGAGTGAGGCTAAGCTCTTACTTCCGGGTTGTGTCCAACATTATTCGGCCCAAGTTCCATCACAAGGCGGAATGCATGTTACTTCTAGACAAAACTTATGACAAGAAACATCAGACTCAGACATTTCGAAGCTCCTGTATAGTCTCGTGATTATTTACATATGTTTATTGCAGATGTAAGTTGATGTATGCACGCACGCATCGGGAAACATGTTACATGTCTTTGCTGATTGTTTTCATTTCAGAACACTTGGTGGGAAGGAGTTTGTATGCTTGTGAATCAAAAGAAACAAGAAGCTGTTAGCAAGTATCGAAACACTCTCAACCAATGTATACGAAAACAAAGAAGAAAACAAGACACGAGGTTTTACGTGGTTTCTCCAAGATCGGGACTAGTACACGGGAGAACTAGAACTCTCCGACACTTAGGCGTTTGCAAGTATCAAAACATTAATTTAGGTGTTATCAAACTCCCCCACACTTAGGCGTTTGCTTGTCCCCAAGGAAACCTACTCAGACCTAATGCAACATGATAGACAAATCAATGGGAATGCACTCTAGTTCTTCATTGCATAAAGGAGAGTAGACGGAGATGAATCACTAAAAGGTATTTTGTACCTAGCTCTCCCCCACACATGTCGGGTACAAACGAGAGCTATGAGGTCTCATGAATCACTAAAAGGTATTTTGTACCTTGGCATAAGATTCCTTAAAGAAGAAAGATACTTGGTGGATGGTAAGTAGTGAAAGATGGTCGGGACGCGGTAAAGCTATCCAATCCCCAAGCATATCCTCAAAGGAACTCCGAATCCGTGAGGATTGGTTGCCTCACACGTGAGCCTCAATTTCAAAAGATGTTTCACTCTTTTCTAATACGCACAAACTTGTAAATGTTTTGAGTTCACTATACACAAAACAGAATCTCGCACACATGTTCTTCCTAAAATAGCACTTATTATCGACTCACAAAAGAGGAAGAAGATAATAAAATTACACACACCGGTACTCTAATCATGCAACTATCACCTAGCGAACACACCACATCAATCATCTAACAAATCAAAACATATTGAGTAGGGAGTTCCAAGGAACAAGGTGTTTTGGAACCCTCCAATTTGAAAAAAATTGGGTAATAGTATTCAAGGTTCCAAAACACTATCATTCGACTATTGATCACCACAACACAAACACAATCACTAGAACACACTCCCATAAGTATTCACCAATGTCTTACAAATGTCTTACATTTATAAACAAGGGAGGATTCTAGCAATATATGGTTCAACCAATCATGATATTCATTCAAACATTCATACACATCCCCCCACACTTCAGCAACACATTGTCCTCAATGTGGGAGTTTTATAAGAGAAGATCGTGAGGGTTACCATAGGTTCTGGCTGTGGGTTGGTGAAGGTACACAAGTGTACGTGACTCGCTATGACACAACACCAAACTGCGACCAAGTGTAATCGCAGAATGGAAATGCAGTATAGTGGGATCAAGTAATAAAGTCAAGTCAGGGCCTAGATGTACTGCCTACTCCATGATTATCTATTATCTAGCGGGGAAAGTTTAATAAGAATGAGTTTAAACTAACGAAAAAAGAAAGCAGTAAACTGTTCGGTTTCTGAAGCAAGAGAAGAGTCACTCGGGAATGAGTCCCCCTAGATCCTTAATTAGGTTCAAGTTTTTATTCCATTTGGTTGATTCACTATTGATTAAACTGTCGAAGATCCGAAAGTAGCTTGGAATCTCTTAAGCTGACCAAGCCCTCTTAGACAGACTATCTGGCAGACGACTAGCCTTCACCAGGATAGAATGCTAAGACAATTCACACAGATTCCACTACTAGAAATGGATTCCAGTACAAAGCAGTGAATTGAGCGACTCTCATACAGTCAATTCACTCTTAATCAATTGAAGAAGCTCTAACGACCTGATCATATTCTATCTATCATAGGTTGAAGCATAAATCAAGAGAAGTTGATCAGGATACAATTGACGCAATAAACACCCTTCAATCGATTAAAACCAATCAGCATTTCATCCTAAAAGTCATTACGAGCAAGATCCCTAACACATGGAACTAGGATTCTTCATGGAAAAAATCCTAAAATACACATGTTTTTAAAAAAAATTCCCAAAATACACCGTTATAAATTTTTTTTCCAAAATTCCCATGTTTGGGCATCACCGCTGTTGTCAACCGCAGTGAATGCATTCACCGCGGCAGACCAAAGCGGTGAATGTATCACCGCGGTTGACGGCCGCGGTGAATGCCTAACGTAACACTAAAACTTCAAACAAATGTAACTTTGCGCTCAGTTATCCGATTGTAGCGGCATTTTTTTTTTATTCCACATAACTTTTCAAAATCTTTCAATCTGCAACAAGCCTTCATCCCAAAAAAAATTCGTTTGCTACTCCGAACGAGCAATTTTCGATTTTGACAAACTTTGGAAGACCATAACTTTGTGCTCCACAATCCGAATGTCATGAAACTTTTTTTGATTTCGCATAACTTTTGAAGGACTACAACTTTGACTATATCCATAATTTTGGAAAGTATGTGGATTTGTGAAAAGTAAAGGCAAAGTTATTACCAAAATCCCGTATACCCAAAAATATTTCTTTTTTAAAAAATTCTTTCCTAGTAAAAGTTGTAGTTCTTAAAAATTTATTCGCAATAAAAAAAAACTTTACAACGTTGGGATTGAGGATCTAAAAGTTATGGCCTTCCAAAGTTTGGAAAAATTGAAAAATTGCTCGTTCAGGGTAACAAACGACATTTTTTTTAGATTAAGTCTTATTGCATATTGAAAAATCTTGAAAAGTTATATGGAATAAAATTGTTTTCGCTACAATCGGATAACCCAGCGCAAAGTTACGTTTGTTTGAAGTTTCAGTGTACGTCAGGCATTCACAGCGGCTGTCAACCGCAGTGATGCATTCACCGCTTTGGTCTGCCGCGGTGAATGCATTCACTGCGGTTGACAATAGCGGTGATGCCCAAATATGTGTATTTTTTTAATTACTTGTGTATTTTGGGAATTTTTTTTAAAAACATGTGCATTATTGGATTTCATCCGATTTTTCATACCCAAGTGAGAGAAAGCTCTACTCCATAGAGATAGAGGAAAACAGAAATCAAAGCAGTCATACTCATAAAGATAGGAATAATCTGCTCTGGGATGTCTATCTTCACTCTTGGAGATGCAATCTGGGCTTCAATGGTCACTAATCCACTCCAAATAGCTCCTAGGTTTTGTTCTTCGTCACTTTCTCTCTCCAGAACATTGTTTTTGCTCCAAAAAGTCGAATCCCCCTCCTTTGGCTCGAATCCGCCAGTTTACACTACAAAAAAGGCAGTCATTACCGACAAAACGTTTTAAGTCGAAATTAATAAATTTGCATCGGAAAATACCTTTTCAAACGACATACAGTCATCGGACGTCGTCAGGAATTGTCCCGTCGCTAATAAAATATTACTGACCAGTCGTCCCAAAAAAATATTATCGACAACATAAATTTGTTAGTAATAAAATAAGCAACGTCACAAATGAAATCACTCATGATAGATGAATTTGACGGCCGCCGGGGGGGGGGGGGGGGGGTTCGACGCCAAATTTATTTATTTTGGATGATTTATCTTTGTAAGTAAACAAGAAGTTCTGACTAGCAGTCATAAATACTAGTTATACTAACGTCCACAATTCGTCGAAATAAATATTTGGGACTAGAATTTGAGGCCGCTTTTTTTATACATTGTACATACATTTGTGAGTTTGTTTGTGCGTCAATAATGTAGTGTTTTTTACGGATAGTCAGAAATATTATTTTTACTGATACCAACAAGTTTTCGTTAAAACAAAAAAAAATTCAACTTGTCGTTGGAGAAATTAGTATTTCCGAGGACAAATGTTCATCGTCAAAAAAAAAAATTCCAACATGTCGTCGGAGAAATTATATTTACTAAGGACAACTATTTATCGTCAAAAATAAGCTTTTCCAACGTGTCATCGGAGAAATTATATATACTAATGACGCTTACTTATTGTCAATAGTGAAATTATATCTACTGACAATGATACATTTGTAGCAAATAGCGTGACCAAATTTCATTTGTGACGCCATTACACTTCGTGTGATGATCACACAAAAAAGTTCATCTAAACGAAGTTATGCATAGATGATAATATTCCGAAATTGACTTAGATTAACTGTCTTATAAGTAGCCATAGCTACGACCAAACATCCAAAATTCAAAAGACTTAATATCCTCAGAAAATCAAAATAACCCAAAATTCAAGCCATACTTAGAATCTTACGATACCATTAAAAGAAATTCATGCAGCATTAGTCTCGTCGGTAGTCTCCTCGTCAGACTCATCGTTATCCTGAGTTTCACCAACTCGACCATGTTACCCATTGGCTTCACTGTTGATATCCTATAGAGAATATAACAAGTATATTAACTTAAAAGCCCATATTTCATAGCTTCAAAAATTATGTAAGGAGTACACAAAGAAAACATGGCTGCAAAGTAGTTACCATGTCGAATGACTCTAGCAGCCGCACTCCAAGTCTCTGCAACACAGATTCAACGATGTGAGGCACCACATTCCTCACATCTACGATCTCATTCTCCAACTTCTTCATTTTGCCATCACTTTTTCCCTTTCTTTGGTTCGATCCCCATGACAACGCTTGCTGCAACCCTGACTCGATGGGGGACCGAAGACATCAACCGAGCTCATTCCATGGCCCATCCCTAGAACACGCTTGTGGTGTTGTGGTCCTATCACTTCTTGATAGATGGAAAATCTATTTGGTTCTTCCCCTTGGGATACCTTTGCAGCATCTGCTTCTATTATACCATCCTAATCATATGGTAAATAACATTAATATCGATAAAAAAAAGACAGCAAAAACTAGTACAAACAACAGCCTAATGATTTGGTATATACATCTAACATCGATATAAAAAAGACAGTAGGTAGTGTTGCAAAAAGTAGCCAACAGTATTGAACTTACATGCAGGTCTTTTGCTTTTGAGCTAGCCCAATTTTTGTCCTTCATATGGAAACGTCTGAACATTTCGATCGGATCAGGTTCTTTTCCAGTTTTTTTATCTACCAAACAATTAACTCCAAAATATTGCGTTCAAAACATGTAAACTTATTATAATTGAAGCATAACATAAACATTTACAAGTGCAACAGCTTACCTCCTCATATCTGTACTTGGCCAAAGGTGCTGAATCGCTAGTGGTTGCAAGCTCACTCTTCTCCCGATTCTTTTTGTTCTTATCACTTATTTCCTGCACAGTGAAATAAACCAACATTCAACTCACTTTGCAAAACAGATTACTAAGAAAGAACAGAATATTGCATACAAGAACTTACCAACCAATTCGGGTTAGCCCATTTCTCAACCATTTCCCTCCATATTGATGGAGTTATCTGGGGTGGTGGATGGTTCATTCTATCATTAAGATCTTTTTACTTCGTGAATATCGGGTCTCAGATACCATGCATCCACTGGGGATAGTTTCTCTTTATGTGTTGTTTGACCATTTGTTGAACGTCTCTTCTGAACCAATGTAAGTGAATCTTGACTCCTTGAAATGAGCTATCAGAGTCTGCAGCTCTGATGCCGGATACTCTGAGAATGTAATCCAAGGCCCAGTGATGCTCTTTTTGAATATGGTTGAAATCTCGCGGCCTGGTTGAGTGCTGATTATCATGCACAAGCCATATAAAGAAGCATGAAAAATGATTAAGTGACTTACAGATTTTGATTACAACCTAAATAAATAAGCAGGCATTAGTAGTGTCGTATAGGGTTTACTGACTTGTTGTCGTGAAATTCCAGGGATAGGTTGTGCCCAAGTTTGACTCCCTTTCCTGTAGGGGTGAGCAGTGGGTGAGTTTAGAACCACCCACTATGTTGTGGGTGAAGAAGAACATGACCCACACCCAACCAAACATTACACGTGGGTGGGTTGGGTGATTGCAGATGATGGGTGGTTGGGTGGATTCGGTGGGTTTACAACATATATTCCATATGATTACATAATTTCAATATTTTTAAATTAAAAATGAAAGAAATGTTCAAACTTATTAACTCTTAATCCATAAATCAATTGAATAATTTATTATACAACATTGGTATTGGTAATTGTCCACAATTGCAAAATATTCGACTGATAAATATAGTCTTATCCTGATAAGACCAAGGTTCAAGAAGGCACTAGACATAAAGCAAACATTTTGGTCTTGCCTAGTGTCTCATTTGCCTAAGTGTTGGGATCGTAAATATAGCTTTTTAACCCATAGTCACAAATTAAAATTACAAATTGACGGAAGAAGAAGGTGGTAGTTTGAGATGGTGTCATTTTGGGAAAGACAATTGTCTTTTTCTGCCATTTGTCTACTAGTTATGCTTAAGTGTACCTCCAATTGTCATAACACACCTCACAACATGATCCTTTGATCGAAATTGACAGGAATTTTAGTGATTTTGAGGCTATCATTTCTGGTAAAGTTATATGTTAGAGCTTTGATGATTTGAGGTTAACAAGGGTGGTGGGTCGTGGGTCAACCAAAGTTCACCCAAACCCACCCAATCTTTTGTGGGTCACCTATTTTACAACCCACACCCAACGATAGGAACCACCCACATAATAGTGGGTGGGTCGATCGCGGGTGGATTTGGGTGGATTTGTGGGTTTAACCACCCAATGCTCACCCCTACTTTTCTGGACCTCTTCCTTTTTTTTTTTGTGTGGTACTTATCACAAGTTAACAAAAGTCAGCTAATACTCATACTTTGCAAATCAAACTAAACAAAAACAACCACAGATCCGACGAAAGATCTGCAGATGATTGATGAGCATTGGAATCAACCTACACTGGTTCTTCTTCCAATTAAGGAATAGGGGTCATTTCCTCCGTTCTTTGAGTTTCAGTAACAGGAACAGGATTGGTGCTCCTGCCTTCTTGTCCTTCTTCCTGAATCTCTGGAACAAGAGGTGGAGAGTTGCTCTGCTCAGGGTCACGTGGTGTAGAATCTTCCCTCTAGCTCTGAGAACGGGGGCATTTCTTTTGCTTTGTCATCAAGTGAAAGTAGATTTTGTGAATGGGGGGAGAAGAATGGCAGAGAAGAAATGACTAGTCTTTTGGGTTACTTTGTCTCTGCCTCTGCTGAAGCGTGATTATAGAAAGTAGGGTTTAATAATGAGTAGTGGTTGTGTAGTTATTGTGGTGGGAAACGGGTAAAAACAATCCCGCCTTATTTTTAGCCAAACGAAGAGAAATCAGGATACAAAGAGGTTTTTGGTTCTTTTTTTAGTAAATCGTGTTGGTATTATACAACCGAAGATCCCTATTTTCATATTAATCTCCTAAAACTTAATTATTATTTTTTTTGAAATTAAGGATTAGTTTAGGGAATCGGGTAACGATACGCAATTATATGACCTAATGATATTAGACATGACAATTAACAAAGCATGGGGAATGAACAGATTGCATACATGAATGGTCGATTCAGAAAAAGCAGCAAGAATGAACCAATGATGCATCAGAGACAAAATTGATCCACAAAAATTCTCCATAACATAGTAATTGACCTTCAGGCACCAATCAAAGTAGGGGTGGGCATTCGGACGGTTCGGTTCAAACCGAACCGAACAGACCAATACCGGAGTTCCGATTACACCCACAAGCCAAACCGAATTCGAACCAAATTATAATTCGGTTTGGTCTGTCCGAACCGAATTATAATTCGGTTCGATTCAGTTTCCCCCTCAAAACCGAAAATGTGGGCTGCATGCGTTTTGGCCCCTTTTAACTCCTGCGTATTGGACGCTTGCTGCTAGGCAAAACCGAGGAAGGCCTCCCTATCTTCTCATTTGGCCATTTCTCCTTTTCACTCCTCAGATACTCCCTCCCCCCCCCTCTCTCTCTCTCCCCCTCCAACCAAAACAAAGGATGGTCTAAGTGCCCGTCGTGATTTGGAGGAAATGGGTATAAGAAAAGAACTTCATCCTATTGAGAGAAACGGGAAAACAGAGTTACCTAGAGCTGCATATAGCTTGACGGCGGCAGAGAAGAAATCTTTGTGCCAGTTGCTAGTAAAAGTGAAGGTACCAAATGCTTACTCCGCAAATTTGGCATGTTGTGTCAATGTTGATGATCGAAAGATATACGGGATGAAAACTCATGATTGTCATGTGTTCTTGGAAAGGTTATTATCATCAACACAACGCGAAGGCTTAGAACAGATGAACCATTTGTTTTGGCTAGTCAAGCAATTCAAGTTTATTATGTGAAGTCTTTGAGAGATACAAATTGGAAAATTGTGGTTGAAACGCGATGAAGAAATTTGTTTGCTATGCCTTCTAATATGAAAGGAGAAGGAGCATTAGAAGAAGTCTATCAAGAAGATAATATTTTAATTGATGATCCTGGGGTACTCCAAACTGCGGGAGATGATCTCATAAACTCAACTATAGCAGGATTCGAAGATTAAGTAGGACTAATTTGGTCATTGTAGATCGGGATATATATTACCTAATTTCTATTATTTATATAATAGTGTTTATTATAATTACTTAAAGAAGATGTGTTTTTTTATCGATTGAATAACCATTTCTAGTAAATGTCATGCTCGTCCGATTTTCATAACTGCCTCCCAATAATTTCTTCTGAAGAAAAAAAATGTCTACGGTAATTAATTTTGTAACAAAGATTCCAATTTTGTAACCAAACAGTACCGAAGAATTGTGTATGGCGTAAAAATGATTTGTTCTTACCATAATTGTAACACTTTAGGCGAATCCCACATCGACAAAGCACGATAGAGATCCATGGTTCATAAGTAAGAAACCGACCTTAACTGACAAGAAGCGTTTTGGGGTGAAATGGAGTAGTTCTTGTGAGAACTCCGAAGTTAAATGTGCTCAGTGTGGAGTACAACAAGGATGACGCGACCTTATGGGAAGTCACCTTGAATTGCACCCCAAGTCAAAATCCGTGAGGGTCGAGGCCCCAAGCGGACAATATCTTGCTCGGGGAAGGTTCGGGATGTTACAATAATAGTACATACGAACTTTTAATTGTGTGAGAAACAATTTTTCTGAACATTTAATGTTGACGAAATGTTTATGGCGTAAAAATTTATTTCTTCCTGACCAAATAGTACTGACGAAATTTACATGGTGTAAATTTTTTTTTTCCTGACCAAATAGTAGTGAGAAAATTTGTATGCCGTCAAAAATACTTTTTTCCTGACCAATTAGTACTGATGAACTTTTATAGTGTCAAAAATATTTTTTTTATCAATTAGCGCTGACGAACTGTTTATTTCGTCAAAATTAATAAAAAAAATTACACTCGATATTTTGTCATCACTAATAATCATTTTTTTCTGAGAACTGTTTTGTACTGGTCGGTAATGATGATTATTTCTAAAGCGAAAAATGAAATCGTAAAAAATAATGAATGTAGGAAATTGAAACTGGTCAAAAATACATTTTACTGACGAAAAAAATACAATTATTGACGAAAATTCACCTCTGTTAGTGATAATTTAATTATTACTGACAAAAAAATTTTGTCTTCGGAATTACGGATCTTGTTCGATGCAATTTCTGAGTCGTCAGTAAGTTTTCGTCACAACTGTCTCCCTTTTTTGTACTGTTAACCCGACACTGGGCGAAACACGGACGGGAACACGACCGTGCTCTGCCCGTGTCCGCTCGTGCTTTGATTAGGTCACAAACACTTCTTTATCGTCTTTCTGCTAGTGTCTCCCTATTTGAGATCATATCATAACATGTGGTCTCTTCCTTGTCCAGCTCAAGCCTCCTAGATATGTAGGCATTCACTTAAGTTTCATCCTCGTATTCAACATCATCTCTCTTTGCAAAATGCAGTTTTCGGTTGGGATAATTGATTCGGGTATAACTGCACATGTCACCCTGTATTCTTGTGGTGTTTGGAGCGTTTACATCGCTTCAGGCTTGATTTTACTCTAGATTGTGCATTTTTCCATCATGTTTTAGGTTCTAACAGGTGAAATTGGCCTTGGAAGCGAAAGCTGAACAAAAGAGGGCGAAAGCGGATTGAAAAAGGCAAAAAGGCGATGATCAAAATTTGAGCAACTTTATCATGGTTAGCCGACCGTGAAGAAGAGGTCTAGACCGTGAAGAGCATCAACATCAAGAAAGTTAGGTACACCGCGTGGTCCTAAAAGTTATCACGGTCACCAGACCGTGATAGTGCCATCTAGTTCGTGAAGGCCTTAAATGAAACAGTGCATTTTGCCCGAGATCACGGGCGAGGCCTCGAGATACGCCCGTGATAATTGACCGTGATGAGCGTGCGACTAGAGTATAAAAGGAGAAGGGAGCTGAAACTTGAAAGGGGGATCCAAATGAGAGATTGTCTTCTTCTTCTTCTTCTTCAACTTCTGATTT